AAGGGCACCCTTCACTAGACTCGACACCTATAAGAGTTTGGACTCTTTCCGCTTCCAAATTTGTCCTTTCCCCCTCCCTGGCCCCAACCCAGCGCTAGGGCTGAAAAAGGGCACCAGTTCCCAGGGCAGATCCATTGCTCTCTGCTCTTTCAACAGCAGATGGAATGGTGGTGTTGGCAAACTGCTCCCCAAAGATGTGGTGTCACAAGGACAGTGACCCCAGTCAGGCTTGGGTCCCAGCCTGGAAGGTCTGTAACAGCCACTGAGTCCGGTGATTCCCAAACTCTTCAAGCAGCAGGAGCCTAGTGACAAACTCAATCCTCCCTGGAAGTCTAATAGAAAAGGGGCAGTGTGCCACCAGGCTGTGTGCGCTTCCTAATTACTGCAGAAGGTGAAGCAACAAATCAAGTTTAAAACTGTCAGAGCAGTTTGGATTTCTTTTTTTATTTTTAAAGATTTTTGTTTATTTATTCATGAGAGACACAGAGAGAGAGGCAGAGACACAGGCAAAGGGAGAAGCAGGCTCCATGCAGGGAGCCCGATGTGGGACTCCATCCAGGGACTCCAGGATCACGCCCTGGGCCGAAGGCAGGCGCTCAACCGCTGAGCCACCCAGGCGTCCAGACAGTTTAGATTTCAAGCCACAAGTGATACTACATTAAGTGTTTGGTAAGTTTGAACATACAATATGTACCTATCATAAAGGCACCTTGATGGTGACGCCACAGTGGTTTTTGTGAATGCAAAACACAAAAAGCAAAGTTGTAATCTTTTAAGTCTTAGTATTAAATTTGTCTCTATGGTTGTTTGTTTGTTTGTTCGCTTGCCTGCGTAGGCTTGGGGAAAAATTTAGATTTGCATAGATAAGCAATCTGAGGAGCTCACCTGGAAATCTTAGGGTACTCTATAATCAGATGGTTTGACTCACCAATTGATTCATCCAACAAATGTTTATTGGGAACTTACTGTGTGCCAGGCATTCTGCTTCTGACGCTGGCACATGTAGGAAGAAATATGTGTTTCAATCTAATCACTAATATATTATTTGCATTTCTCATCATGAGTGTATAAGACAAATGGAAAGACTCAAGCTTCCAGTTAAGTGCCAGATCTATAGTACACTATAGATAGAAGATAATGTCCCAGGCCATGTGTAATTGTTCAATAGATAGGGCCTGAGTCTTGCCCGGGAAGAACAAGTGTGACCCAGCCTGTATATTTATTCATGTACATGACTGTCTAGCTTAGAAGAAATACAACAATCCTCATTAATGACATATTTCAAGAAATTCAAATATATGCATAGAGATTTAAAGGGTAGGAGGCCACCCTGTCATTCACTTCACATTTATCAAGTTCCTACTGTGTGACAGCCACTGGGATGGTTTCTGGAGATGCCACGGTGAACAAAATGTTTTTGCCTTCCTGGGGCTACGTCCATCAATGAGTGAATTAAGAAGATAATCACACAGTGGTCGTGTGAAGAGGGAAGCTACCTTAGAGAAGATGGTCAGAGACATCCCCAGGAAGCCACGTTTGAGCTGAGACCCGATATAAGAAAAGCAGCAATCATGGGAGGAGCCGGGGAGGTGCTCTAAGCAGCAAGTGCCAAGGCTCTGAGGCCAGATCCTGCTCTCAGTGTGGAAAGACAGCAAAGGAGCTCAGACTAGGATGGAGTGATCAAAAAAGGTGGTGGCTCCAGATGAAATCAGAGATGGCTTGTGCGGGACCTTGCAGACCTAGAGATTTCATTCTAAATGCAACCAAGAAACTCTTAGAGAGTTATTTTTTCTCTTTTCTTTGTATTTATTTTTTATTTTTTAATTTAAATTTAATTAGCCAACATACAGTACATTATTAGTCTCAGATGTAGCGTTCAACGATTTATCAGTTGTGTGTAACACCCAGTGCTCACCACATCATGTTTTAGGGAGTTTAAAGCAGAAAAGGGAGATCATCTCATCCACATGTTAAAGGATTACTCAGGCCGCTGCACAGAGGACAGGTTATGCTGTGGCAAGAGTGGAAGTGAGAAGAGCAGCCAGGGAGCCATGGTGGTCATCCTGGCCATCCAGGCCGGCAGAGTGGCAGCTTAGTCCAGGATGAAGACACTGGGGACGGGGAGACTCCAATGTCTCAGTGGACAGGGCTCCCCGCTGCCCGGACCTCTCCTCTGGGACCCCAGCCTCATAAAGCCCCCACCTACCTGACATCTCCTGCTGGATGTTGAACACTCATCTCAAATTTTGCCCCGACTTGGACTCTTGATCTTCCACCTGCAAACCTGCTGTTCCCCAACTCCATTCTTCCCCAGAGTCACCCTCAGTTCCTCTCTTGTCTCCCTGCCTCATGAATAAATCTTGCTTGCTCCATCTTCAAAATATATTTGGAATTTAACTACTTTTCACCACGTCCACTGCTGGGACCCAGACCTAAACCACCGTCACCGGTCACTTGGATAACTACAATAGCCTCCTAATGGCCTTCCTGCATCTACCTTTGCCCTCCATGACCAGTAGGCTCCTGTTAAAATGTAAGTCAAATGATAACATTCTTCTCTTCCACTCAGCCCTCCAGTGACTTCCCATCTCAGAATTCAAATCCTTCATCCCACTCTGACCCCATCTCCTACCACTCTCCCACTTACTCATCCTGGTGCAGATGCACCAGCCTCCCTACTGTGCTTTAAATACAGTGCTGCCTCAGGACCTTTGCACATGCCTTTCCTTCTGACTCTAGATATCTGCTTCTCCTCTCCCTTCATTCTGCTCTCTGCTCAAATGCAATCAGCTCAGAGAGACCTTCCAGACCACTCCCTATAGAGAAATAATCTTCATCACTCTTTTCCCTTGTTTTATTTTTCTTCAAAAAACTTAAAACTTCCTGACATTACATATTTCTGGCTTATTTGTTTATCATCTGTCTCCCTACAAGGTAAACATCACAAGAGCAGAGTCTTTGTTTTATTCATTGTTGTATCCCCCAACACCTAGACCAATACCTGGCACACAATGGATGCTCTGTAAAATGTACTGAATGAATATATGAAAGAAAGTGGTGTTATAGAGTGAAGGGAGGTGAGCACTTCAGGAAGGGGACCTTCAGCACTACTGTAAGTGGCAGGGAAGTGAAGGCAGGACTCCAGAAGAGTCTGCTAGGTTTGGTAGGAAGGGAGGGCTTCTCAGGGTCCAGGGAGCCAGTTAGGACAGGTTCCAGAAGTTAGTGGGAAAGGCATAACGATTATTCTTGCTCATATCTGTAGGTGCTGGGAGGAGAGACCCATGTAGGGGTATCTGTCCAAGGGAGACCTCTAGCCAGAGTGCTGATAGGAAGACATGGACTAGAGATTCAAGAAGAGGCTAAGGGGCGTTCTGGGGGTGGGGTACCCCAGGGTGTGGCAAGAAGCCAGAGATTCCAAGAGGTGGTTGCCTCCTCCTTCTATTCCCAGTCTTTCCAATGGGCTCACTGGGAAGAAATGGAGCTAACACTTCTGGACACTACGTGGGCCATTGTCAGGGCTCAGCGCCCCAGCCAACAGCTGGGAAGCCCACAGGGAGCACACACTCCTGTCTGTGCCAGCGACAGAAGCAAGCCTTCTCCAAAATACAGCCTTGCACCTCCGACTGAGGACCTCCCCATCTTTTGGTGTCTTTAGATTCTCACCACCACCACAATCGCTCCAAGAAATCGCTCTTATTATCTCCAAATTTACAAACTGGGGAAACGGGAGGCTTGGAAGGCGATGTGACTTCCGCAAAAACCACACAGGAAAACTGTGGGATCCAGATTCGGACCTAGGTCATTGGTCTGCAAGCTCTACTCTCAAAGATTCCACTCTGATGTGGGGTTCCCAGGCTGAGTCCCGACGCTCCAGGCCTTTGCGCAGTGAACTTCACTGGTGCAGCGCTGCACGCAACAAGGAGGCAAAACCGGAGCAGACAGTTTTCTTCCCAGTTGAAGACACATCTCCACCCAGCCCCGCACTGGACACTCCGCTGCGGAAACACACAGGTCGAGCTGGGCAGGAGTGCACTTCCCTGCCTCCAGCCTGGGGCAGGACCTGGGCTTGGCGAGATTGGCGCCACGCGTCAGCAGCCATCCTCCTCTTCTGCACCATGCGGCTCTGTTCCTAGGCGGGCGGGCGGGGAAGGTGGGCTGGGCCCTCGGCCCTCTGAGCGACTCCCCGGGTGGGAACTGGCCGAGGACAGGCCGCCGCATCCAGTTTATCTCAGGTTCGCCCCCCCCCTTTTTTATTTATGATAGTCAGAGAGAGAGAGAGAGAGAGAGAGAGAGAGAGAGGCAGAGACACAGGCAGAGAAGCAGGCTCCATGCAGGGAGCCCGACGTGGGATTCGATCCTGGGTCTCCAGGATCCCGCCCTGGGCCAAAGGCAGGCGCCAAACCGCTGCGCCACCCAGGGATCCCGGTTCGCCTCCTTAAACTCTGTCTCTCTGCAGGTTTCTCTGCCCCTGCCTCTAGCTTTCTGCTCTGTCTCTATCTCTTGGCCGTATCTCTCACTGTCTCACTATCTCCGCTCTGAGTGTGTCTCTGCCCCGCTGCCACGGGTCTCTCTCCAAATCCCTCGCGATCTGTTCTACTCATACCCTGCACCTGGGTCCCCCACAAATCCTAGGACAGAGGGAAGCCCAAAGTCAGCTTGGAGCTGGGCGCGCGCGGCCAACATTTTCCGAGGGCGCCGGACGCGTACGGCGCGGGGAGGTTTGGAGCGAGCGTGCCCGCGAGCCGAGTGCAGCCGCGTGGGGCTGCCAGCCTCTGCCTCCCTCCCAGCCCGGGGAGGGGCGGGAGCGCGCGCGCGGGGGTCGAGGGCTAGGGGGCTGGCCAGTCTCCTGCCCCAGCGGCCACCCTGGGGATCCCAAGCTCCTCCCCACCCCGTTTCTATTGGCCTCGGGCGCCCCCGCCCCCAGCCGCCCGCTCCCGCTCTGGGGCCCTTTAGCTACTACGGGATAAATAGCCCCGGGCGCCTGGCGTGAGGATAGGGGTGGGGAAGCCCCGGGGCGCTGCAGCCGCTTTCCTCACCGCGCATCAGGCCCGACAGGACCCGGCGGAGGGGGGAAAGTCGGGTGTCCATTCAGACCCCCACGTACTTTACCATCGCACGGCCAGGGCTGCGGAGAGGCAGAAAGTTTGGGGCAACCCCTGGCGAAGCCGGGACTGCGCCACCCCCTGCCGGGATATGGAGCTGCTGTCGCCGCCGCTCCGCGACGTAGACTTGAGCGGCCCCGACGGCTCCCTCTGCAACTTCGCCTCGGCGGATGATTTCTACGATGACCCGTGTTTCGACTCCCCCGACCTGCGTTTCTTCGAGGACCTGGACCCGCGCCTCGTGCACGTGGGCGCGCTCCTGAAGCCCGAGGAGCACTCGCACTTCCCTGCGGCGGTGCACCCTGCGCCAGGCGCGCGCGAGGACGAGCATGTGCGCGCTCCCAGCGGGCACCACCAGGCCGGCCGCTGTCTGCTGTGGGCCTGCAAAGCGTGCAAGCGCAAGACCACCAACGCCGACCGCCGCAAGGCCGCCACCATGCGCGAGCGGCGCCGCCTGAGCAAAGTCAACGAGGCTTTCGAGACGCTCAAGCGCTGCACGTCCAGCAACCCGAACCAGCGGCTGCCCAAGGTGGAGATCCTGCGCAACGCGATTCGCTACATCGAAGGTCTGCAGGCGCTGCTGCGCGACCAGGACGCCGCGCCCCCTGGTGCCGCCGCTGCCTTCTACGCGCCTGGCCCGCTGCCCCCAGGCCGCGGCGGCGAACACTACAGCGGCGACTCCGACGCGTCCAGCCCGCGCTCCAACTGCTCCGACGGCATGGTAAGGCCAGGACCCCGAGCTAGAGAAGTGAGGGCAGCTCTTGCTATATCTGGGACGTGTTGCAGAAGGCGGGGAGTTGGCCCTCCAGAGGGAGGTTTGGGCCGGGAACCTTCTGGGGAGTGGACCCCGGTGTCCTGAGCAGCCGTCACCGGGGTGGCCTGATGCTCTGGGGGCGCACGGGACAAATGCGATCCACCCGACTGGGGGCGCTGTTAGATCTCTGCCGCAGCGACATGGAGTTGTGCTTTTCTCCACTCATCCCTATTTACAAAATAGACTTATGCTCCTAGGCGACTGTCCACGCGCTGGTTGGCCCGGGAGATGGCAGACAATCTCCGTCCGCCCCTGTCCCCCAGCCAGGGCCCAGATCTCGTGGCGGAGACATGGGGAGTTGGGGCAGGTTGGTTACAGAGAGTGATGTTCTGGCCCCCCGCGGTCCCCGAGCCTGACTCGATCGCCCTTGCCCTTGCCATTTGCAGATGGACTACAGCGGCCCCCCGAGCGGTGCCCGGCGGCGGAACTGCTACGATGGCACCTACTACAGCGAGGCGCCCAGCGGTGCGTATTTGCGCCTCCTTCCCACGTTACCCGCTTTGAGCTGCCACGGCTTCCCTCTATCTGGACCGCCCCCCCCCCGCCCCTAATCCCGGGAGACGGTACGGGGAATGAAATACTAAGCGTGCAGCCCACTCCCTTTTCGCTCCGTGCTCTCCCTGGGTCCTCAGGTTCCCGTCTGCCCCCAAGCACTGAGCCCGTAGGCGGGAGGCCTGTCCGCGGCTCAGCTGCCGACTAACCCACCCCTCCCCGCGCAGAACCCAGGCCCGGGAAGAGTGCTGCGGTGTCGAGCCTCGACTGCCTGTCCAGCATCGTGGAGCGCATCTCCACCGAGAGCCCCACGGCGCCCGCGCTCCTGCTGGCCGAGGCGCCGCCGGAGTCGTCTCCCGGACCGCAGGAGGCCGCCGCCCAGAGCGACGCGGAGCGCGGCGCCCCCACCCCTTCCCCGGACACCGCCCCGCAGTGCCCAGCGGGCGCAAACCCCAACCCCATCTACCAGGTGCTCTGAGGGGTGGGCGGCCGCATGGGAGGCCTCCGCTGCCCACGCGCCCGAGGGACGGCGCCCCCCGCGCCCCAAAGATTGAGCTTAAACGCCAGCCCCACTCCCAACCGCGCTTTAAAAGCGACCCCTCCCGAGTTGGGAGCGGAGGGAGAACTGTTTGTGTGTTTCCACTCCTGCGCTCCACAGTAAGGACACGGTCCTTTTTTTCCACGCAACACCCTTCCCTGAGACTCGCTGCGATGGCCTTTAGGGGTCCCTCCTTGGGCCAGAGCTGACTCTTGAGGGGCCAGACCCTTCCCCTTCTTGCGGCGGGGTGGGACCCGCGCAGACCTAAGCCCCGCCTCCGGGCGCCGGGGGAGCCTAAAGGGGCGTGGCCTCTCGCTCCTCGAGCCCCGCTACTTTGTAGTCTAAGGGGGCGTGGCCTCTTCTCCCCGAGCCCCGCTACTTTGTAGCCTAAGGGGGCGTGGCCTCTCGCTCCCCAGCCCGGGCGACTTGGCTCGGCCCCGGCGCTGCGCGGGGTGCGCTCGTGTAACAGTACCCACTCCACCCTCTCCCCCAGTTCAGGACCACTTTTTGTAATACTTTTGTAATCTATTCCTGTAAATAAGAGTTGCTTTGCCAGAGCAGGAGCCCCTAGGGCTGTATTTATCTCTGAGGCATGGTGTGCGGTGCGACAGGGACTTTGTACGTTTATACGGCAGGTGGGCGAGCCGCAGGCGCTCGCTCAGGTGTTCGAAATAAAGACGCTAATTTATACCGCGGTGGCTCCGACTCTCCCTGGGGGCGGGGGGGCAAGATTTTGACTGGGAGGAAACCCCGCAAATTTGAGCCAGCTGTGCCGCAGCGACCCCTGTAGGCGGAAGGCGGATTGCAAGAGAGGAGCCTGGGGCGGGGCTAGGAAGGGAGGGGTGAGTTTGGCTCCGAAGCGTGGGGGAGGTTCCTCTGACCCGTCCCCACACGCAGGGCAGTCAGGGTGTATTTAAGAGTGATTTCAGTAGTAGGGAGAAAAAAAGATCCATGCCTGCCCCACTCGCCAGAGATTCTGATTTAATCTATCTGCCCCTGATATCCGGGCCAGGTATTGGTATTTTTCGAGAGCTCCTCCAGCGATTCTAAAATGCGTGCAAGGTTGAGAATCATGCCCCTACATACTGAGTGAAGCCAGGTGTGGTGTCCAGAAGGTTCACTGGATATTCGTAGTTCAAGGTGCCACTTGGAAGCCTCATGGGTACAGAGAATGCGATAAGGTGCTCATAGCATTATAAGGAAAAACTAAGTGAGTGTGAAGGGGCGAAGTAAGCTGCGTGGCACTTACAGGCTCCAAGTAATAGGAGTAATCTTAAGGGGACAGGATAGAAGGCCAGACAGGCACAGATGTCTCTGCTCAGCCAGTAACCCAGCTGTTAGAGCATCCTGGCCCTGACAGGGCAGTGCAGACTTGCATCTGTGAACAAAGGAGGGGCCATTGATTTAGCCAGGGTGCTGGAGAGGGCTTCCTGGAAGAGGTGCCATTTGACCTGTGTCTTGAGAAATAAGCAAAGACAATAGACAATGCCCACAGACCCATGCTCATGTGCACACACATGTGTGGCTGGGAGGGGACCCCTGGAAGGATTGTCTGGTAAAAATTCTTCCCCATTGATATGCCACCGCAAGCCCACCCCCAAACATACATATGTTTGTGTCCAGGACCTCAATGACTCCTACATCTCACCCTTACAGACCCTCTTTCCCCCCCTGAAAACCTTCAGGCCCACTTTCAAATGCTCTGCTCACCAGATGGGGTGACCCTGAGGATTGCAGGCAAGATGTGCTGGCAACAAGAAGGACCTCTGCTCTCTGCTCTGAGGAGAGCCTCTGCTGTCCCCAACACGGGGTGCTGAAGATACTGTTACTAATAATCCTCAGCTTTTTTTCTGGCTGCTTCCCCAGATGCACCTTGGGGTTCTTTGCACTCCTTTGAGACCCTTTGACACATGTATGAATTCACTGATTCAACAGTTTCCAGGTCCTATGCTGGCTGAAAACAGACACAGGGGACAGTTCCTGACCTTGGGAAACTCAGATGTTTGGGGAGATTGAATCTCTTAGCAGCTGATTACATCACAATTAAGTGCTCTAAAGGGGGTGTATGTGGTAGACGAGCACAGTAGGAACAGAAGGTATAGACAGGTAGGTAATCTCTAGTAGGAATCTTGAAGGAGTTGGACACAAAACGAAGCCAACGAAGAGTACTCCAAGCTAAGGAAACAGCAAGTGCAAAACCCCTGAAGTGACAGCAAGTAAACTGTGCTTTCATGGAACCAGAGAGGCCAGAGGTGAGATGGGGAAAAGGCCGAGGCAGGACCCCAATGGACCTCATTTGAATTTTATCCTGAGGGCAATAGGAAGCCATAGAGGAGTCTAATCAATGGAAGGGTGCAAATCTGTATTTAGAAAAGCCAGTCTAGCCTGGAAAAATGGATAGGAGGGAACAAGATTTGAGACAGGAAGACTTGTCAGGAGGCCATGAGGGCTTCCCCGGGGGAGACATGACATGGCCTGAACTGGGGCTGTGACTGGGATGCGAGAGAAAGCACACAAGTGGAGACATTTGTGCCAGATAAAGTGTAGGTGTTGACAGTATAGTGGAGAACCTCCAGGGCACAGTCCTTCCCCTCACACAGCTTAAAATCCCCTGGGGAAATAGCCATTAGACAAAGAAACAAGTGAATAAATGGTGAGAAATACTACAAGGCAAGGCAAAGGGTGCAAGGAAGTATGATAAAGGGGTATAAGAAGGTGCAGAAAGGAAGATGTAGAGTTCCTGCACTGAGGGAACCAACTGCATGTATGAAGAAGGCCCAGGAGCTAGTGTGCAATTGGAAAAATGTGTCTCTCCTTCCCTGAGGACACTGCTCTGCGCCGGGGTTCATAGTTAGGCAAGCAGAGAGCAGGCTGGACTTAAGCACCCACGGCCTTTCTTAGCCAGGTGCATTTGTTCAGTGAGCAACATGCATAACTGTTTATAGAGCCTTGTGTACAGACGCCCTAAGAGTGTGAGGGGAAAGGGGGAGCCAAGACTGACTCAGGCTCTTGTTTGGTTCAGAATGAATTCCCAGAGAAGAACCCTCATTGGACTAGCTTAAGTCATGAGCCAGGACTTGAACCCAGGCAGAGAGGCAGCAGAGACTGCACCCTTAGCTGCCTCACCCTGTATCTCTTCACAGGAAGGAGGGAGAGAGGACTGAGAGGAAGTCAGGAGGGAGGGGAGCAGCTGGAATTTGGATCACTCCATGGATAATGGGGATTGAGATCCCCTCTTACCCATCTCTCACTTCAGTCCTCTGGATTTGGGGGTGGGAGGAGCATCTAGCTGAGGCTAACTCCATTTGCAGTGTAGACGAAACGGCACTTGTTTGGGGGGCCATTTTTACCTGGGCTGGATCTGAGGGAACACTGGGCCCATACCCACACATGTGTGCTCATACGACAGCACTCATGGACCCAGAGCATACCACCAGAGGCTGATGGACCTTGAAGGCAACAGGGTTTAAGCTTAGGTCCCTTGCGTGAGCCCCTTGTAAGGCCCTAGTCCAATCTCCTTAATTTGCCAAGGAAAATTATTTTAGCTAATTAGTTATGACCATTGTCCCTCTCTACTCTGACTTCTCCCTTCTGGTGGGTGGCATGGTGGGGTCCAATCTAAAGGTACACATTCTGTTTGGATTTGGTGGAATATGTTTTAGACAAACAGAAAACAGAAGCAATAATAATGAACACTGAAATAAATCCAAATGATCTGACATTGAGAACACAATTGAAGAAAAAAAAAAGAGAGAACACAATTATATCCAAAATATTTTTAGATCATGCCAAAAAGCAGTTTAATAAAAGAAAGAGGTAACTTTTGTATGGAATTGTTAGACTCTTGTATTATTTGAGAATCCAATCAGTAAAAAGTAAATTATATGAACACATTGGAAAGAGATTTTAAATCTTATGCTGACCTAACACAAAACACTAACATCAACAGAGTAAAATTCATAATATGCCACTATCACAAGACCTAGACATCAACTGATCCTTGAATGAATGTCATCAACTTTAAAAAATTTAAAAATAGGGATCCCTGGGTGGCGCAGCGGTTTAGTGCCTGCCTTTGGCCCAGGGCGCGATCCTGGAGACCCGGGATCGAGTCCCACGTCGGGCTCCCGGTGCATGGAGCCTGCTTCTCCCTCTGCCTGTGTCTCTGCCTCTCTCTCTCTCTCTCTCTCTCTCTCTCTCTCTCTCTCTCTCTGTGACTATCATAAATAAATAAAAAAATTAAGAAAAAAAATTTAAAAGTAGTCACCACAGAAGAAAACTCAAAATACCTTGAACTCTTACAGTCCACAAACAAAAGAAACTTGATGGGGTTTTCCCCAAATTTGACACTAACCTTAAAATTGGGCATGACATTTCCAGTACAGTGGTGAGCCTGAAAAAAGCTTCCCTAAATTATTTTTTTAGATTATTTATTTATTTATTCATGAGAGACACAGAGGGAGAGGCAGAGACACAGGCAGAAGGAGAAACAGGTTCCCTGCGGGGAGCCTGATGCAGGACTTGATCCCAGGACCCCGGGATCATGACCTGAGCCAGCCAGGCACCCCGCTTCCCTAAATTACAAATGATACCAAACAAGTCTTGATCACCACGTTGAAGGGAAGACTAAACTATTTGAATGGTCTCTCAATTCTCTGTATAGAAAATGATATAAAACTATTGTTACATGAAGAAGGAAGCAATGAAAGAATATGCAGCTTGATGTTGGTAGAAAGGAGCGGGCAAGACAGAACAAAGGTAAGAAAAAAATAGAGTGAGGAGGGAGGCAGAAGGCTGAAGAGATGAGGAGGAAGATGAAGATAAAAATGAGGATGGTCCTGGGGATCCCTGAATGGCTCAGTGGTTTAGCGCCTGCCTTCGGCCCAGGGCATGATCCTTGGGTCCCGGGATCGAGTCCCACGTCAGGCTCCCTGCATGGGGCCTGCTTCTGTCTCTGCCAGATCTCTCTCTGTGTGTGTCTCTCATGAATAAATCAACAAAATCTTAAAAAAAAATGAGGATGGTGCTGGGGATCCCTAGGTGGCTCAGCGGTTTAGCGCCTGCCTTCGGCCCAGAGCATGATCCTGGAGACCCAGGATGGAGTCCCACATCGGGCTCCCTGCATGGAGCCTGCTTCTCCCTCTGCCTGCGTCCCTGCCTCTCTCTCTCTCTCTCTCTCTCTCTCTCTCTCTCTCATGAATAAATCAACAAAATCTCTTTTAAAAATGAGGATGGTGCTAATGATGAAGAACAAGTTGGTTCTAGCTCAGTGTTTTCTAATCTATAAAACTCACTGCTAATCAAAGGAAACACATGAAAATGTGAGGCTATATAATATTAATGTTTCTATTATACAGGGTCATTTTCATAGAGTTAACCTTTTTTTTAGACATTTAACAGCAAGTTTTAACTCAGGCAGAACCTTCCCAGTAGCAGGTTAACTGAGTCCTGGAGGGTGCCAATGACTACATAATTCCCGGGATCCAAGCCTGACTGTGCCACTGACCAGCTCTGACACCTTGGGAATGTGACTTAACCCATCTGGATCCGGGCTTTCTCTCTGTGTCATTGGATTAGTGAATTTAAAAGGTATGTATCAATTCTGAAATTCTTTAGTATTTTACTTAAAGCATT